CGCCGCCACCGCGCGCGGGTTCATCTTAGAAGCGGGGATTATTGGCTTCTTTGTCTTTGGCTCCTGAATATTCATAAAATACAATGAAACGCCTGTTATTTATTAGGAAATATCTATTTAAAAGAAACTTACGACTTTTATTGGTTCCTGTTTGGCCATCCATTGGTAGAGGTCCTCGCGAGCCTGCTCGTTGGCCATGTCGTCATGGCTGCCATGGGGCGAGTACAGAGATGGGTTCGACCCCACAGTTGGTAGATCTTCTTTTAGCGTTCCATAATCTACATTTAAACACATTTTAAGTCGGTAACAAAACAAAAGGTATAATTCAAATATGTATTGTTACTGTTACTGTAACTCACTAGCGATGGCATCGTCTTGGAAAGGCGTTTTTCTGGTGGAGAACGGTAGAGAAGGAAAGACTAGGCTCGCCCGGCTGCTCTGCGCGCCCCGCACTGCACAACACACGCATAATTACCAACTGACTAAATAATAACTTTTTACATATGAAGTACAATATACTGAAGAGGTGAACCAAATATATATTTAATGCATACTTACAAGAAATTCAGGTTTATCAATAAAGCCGTTTGAGCTTAAATAGTAAGTAATACAAAATATAGTTTTATTTACCTCAAGCTTAAATTTATATGACTATATTTAATTACAAAGGCATTACATCACACAAAAGATCTATGAAACAAAATAAAGAAATACAGATTAAAATAGGAATACAACAGCTATGAAACTGACAATTACATGCTTAAAAAAACTATTACACAAGTGAATGGAGTCGGTATTAAGATTAATAACTATAAAATTCAGATAATATGAATATAAAGGGATATATCAATAACAAAGATAGCACATACAGTTAACAAGAAAAACATAAAAACTATCTCTAAAAAAACTTAAATGACGTATTTTTCAGATGAATGTTTGAGCAATCCGAACATGTATTGGAACAGGCATACAACTAACATCAAAACATGAACCAAGGAATACCATATAAGAGCAAAAAGAACATCAATAAAAATTGATCAAACCAGGCACTAATTGTGAAATGGTTCCAAGTCATTATTTTAAATTGAAGTATTTTAATGTATTTGTTAACAGGAAACCACTTCGACAAACTAAAAACAATCCACAACATTTAGAATATAGTTCGGGGGCAAAAGAGTGTCCCTGAAGTTAGCTACACCATAATTTCTGTTTTCTCATATATCTTGTATATCCATGGCCATTTTAATAAGCCACATTTAACACTATACAATTTAACATTACATTTTAATGTAGGGAAAATATATAAAATCTAGTTAAAGTCAGTATTGCAAAATTGCAACAGATTTTTTCAAATTATGATTACATATTTATTAAATAACTAGCTTTCGCCCGCGACTCCGTCTAAGTTTAATTAAAAAAAGAAATTGAGTAGCCTTTGTGTCCTTCCAGACTATCCTCCACATCTATACTAAATTTCATGGAAATCCGTTCAGCCATTAACCAACCATCCATCCAAAACTTTCGCATTTATAATATTGGTATGCTATCTATTGTATATTGAGTCAGATAACCGTTTTTAAACAAAATGACTGTTACAAAGAAATCGAAAAATAAAATCGATTTTTCATAACGACTAAATTCGATTCTTATATATTTAAAGTCCGAATCGATTCTCTTCAATCGATGTTTTTAATACACCCAAAGCTTAAATTAACTTTTAGCTAGATGTCAAATGTGGCCTATTATTTTGGCATATACGAGGCAAACATTCGGAGCTAAGTTCAGAGCGACAGAGTGGTACAAGTATGGATTAGCGCGAAGTTCACACGAGTACGCACCGGAGGGCGGCGTGGAGGGGAAGGAGTGCGGGCGCGGGCTGGCCGGCGCCGCGCACGCTTCACACACAACAGGTCATCTCTCATTAATACATCGCTAAGTGACACCTTTAGTGTACATTTATCCTATTAAATCAAACCTAAGGGATACCACGACTCTGAGTGGGTCAATTTGTAATAATCCTATCTAACTAATTTCTATAAAAATTCAAAATATATTTTCTGATTGTTATATTGAATATTTACATCTAGTTCTAACGTAAAATCTGAAAATATTTCTATATTTTGTACAAATAAAATTTAAATCACTTTGAAATAAATACTTACAAGGAATGTTCAATTTATCCGCTTCCATATTCAAGAGCAGACAATTCTCATCTAGTGCTTCATTTTCCAATTGGTATTCCTGCCAGCCCTCCACTGAATCCTGTATAAAGAATTTATTATCTCAACAAAAGTCACCATCATTTATTAGCGTTATAACTCAATAATTAGTAGCGGTAAACAGTTTCTTAGTATTTTTCGCACTTAGTATATTTGAGCGCGCACACCTTTGGCTAAACTATCGTAAAACTGTTTAGTTGGAGGAGGTTCGCACACTACTCGATTTTTAGTTGTGCCAAACAATTGAATTGTCTGCGAAACAATCGATAATCACAAACAGTTGTGCGATTGTTTAGTCAAAGGAATATCCGCTGTTATTGCAGGCATTCGACGTGATTACCTCTAACAAGTCGGGCAATGCGAAGGTAACGTTGAGAGGTTTCATCATCTTGCTCTTGTAGTTGTGTTCCAGCAGCAACGGCGTGTATAGTATGTTCTTCCATTGACGACTTAGGACTATCACACCCTAGATAATAACAATTATATTCACACGTAAATTGCATTGTGAGTCAAAATAAAAAGCAATGTAATCGAAAAATATGGAATTTTTTCATGGTGGCAAACCAAAACGGTTGATCCGTTGCCCATAGACATCCTCATACCGTGCATCAACAGAGGAGAAGCACATAAAGAAGATATTTTCCCTTGCTATGCATCTCCTTCACCGTCAAATCCACGTTCCATCCCTTTCTTATAAGAAGGGTTAGAAGGAAAGGGTACTAAAGTTGGGTCCGACAGGGAATAATGAAATCGTATGATTCAATTGTATTTAATTTAATAATTCTTAGTTTCAAACAAAGAGACAGAGATAGAAAAGAGTGGGATAATAGATGTGTGTACCTGTCGGAGGGTGGACAGCGAGGGCAGATGGCGCTCCGCGAGGTCAGCCTGCACGGCGGCCGCGTCCGCCTGCAGCGCGTAGCGCAGCAGCACGCCGCACAGCTGCAGCGAGGGCTCCTCGCGCAGCTGCCGCGCCATCGGCGTGTGCCGCCCGTACCGGCTCTGCGCACGCAACGCGTCGTCCAAGTACCGGAAACGGCAAAAACCGGTATTTATATAACAAACGGAACGATCGCGAAACGAAAGCGAAGTGAATTCGGACTCGCTACTGAGTTTTACTTTTTAAAATTTTGAATGCGAATGTTTAGATATGATTGTTAGAAGGCACGTCAAAAATGGCTCAACAAATCGAGTTGATATTTGACCCAGATTTAGAACATAACTTGGAAGAACATATTACTAAGTTTACATAAAAGTGATATTTGTTTGTTTTGCTAATTTGGTCACTTTACATTTGACGTAGAGAAAGTTTAAGTAGGTATACATGAGTGTAGTGTACGCAATGTGACGTGTTATACCTTGGGCAGCGTGTGCGTGGGCGCGCGGTCGAGCGCGGCGGCCATGAGGCTGGCGGCGGTGGCGGCGAGGCGGCGAGCGCGCGCGCGGTACAGCGCCACCACGCGGATGCCTAGCCGGTTGCACGGGTTCATCCACGCGTTTATCGCAGGCGAGGCCGTACTCAGCAGGTTCCAGTCCAGTCTGTAACATGCACATCAATTAATATTCAAAATAAGGAATTTAATACTCTCGATAAAGAAATTTACCTGGTGTAATCGATCTTCTTAGTGATTGGAGTGCGCGGCGGGGCGGCAAAGTTGAACCAAACCACCTTCAAGTCGATGGCGCAGGAGGAACGGTTACCGTTGTCTTTCACGGGTACTATGGTCGCCGTGCTGTCGGAGGGCTCGTCCGGCCCGGGAGTCATAGGCTCTGGCGGCACTGGAGGAGGTTGGGCCGCTCCTAAGTTAGGAGTACTAGGCTTGGAGTTCGATTCCTTCTTCCTAAAGAAATCTTCGATACCCGAAGTCCTGTAACCTTTGGAGCTCCTCTCTTTGTCTGATTTCAACTCCTCGGCGGACTTGACAGACTCCCGGCAACTCTCGGCGTCATTGCGCACAGGCTTCTTCTCTTCATTGGCCTTGTGCGACTGTGAATGCTGCGACACCTTGATAGAAACACCTTCAAGTCCACATTCAAACATTATGAATCCAATCGTACTTTCCTTTTGCATATCCGTTGCACCGTTCTGGCAACACTGAAACATTCAATCACAATTAATTAGTGTAATAAAGATTATAAAAATCAATGAACCAATAAGTTAGAATAATTACCGTAGTATCACAGGCTTTGCTGCAAGGATCAACTCTGGTAAACTTGAAACTGACTTTGGAATGTTGGCAAGGGATGCCGGTCACAGTGGCGTCTTTTAACTGGGAGGACTCGTTGCGTATGCGTCGCAACTGACCGTGCACCTTACCTGCCATACATATATTGCATATGATATCTAACGCATTTAAAACATAAAACAAATAAAACATGTACTAAAATACATACCAACATTAAGAGTGATAGTAGTGTCCTCACACTGCTGCTGTGATGTTTCAATGAATACCGGCTCCCCCCTCTCGGGCCCCCTTTTTCGTCCTGAAGATTGCGCAGATATAAGAGCCCGAGGCCCCTTCATGATGCCGAAGGACTTTTTACTCCCCAGTGCACGTAATGTCGGCCTGTAGTACAGTTGTATAGACTCCAATGTTTTCTTGGAGCTAACATATTTCGCCACAATGTTCTCAACCGATAATCCGAAAAGAGAAACGCAAGTCAGGTCTTGTATGTTATCTAGCGCCGAGAATGAGATCATATCCTCCACAACGGACGACTGTATGAAGATAACGTTGACTTTGGGCACCGTGACTGTCGCTTGGAGCTGATCGTATATCGTCTCCTCGTAGACGTTCGGCTGCGGAATGGTCGCCAGTTTGTATTTGTCGTCCTTGTCGGGTACGATGCTTGGGTGGTTGTGCGACTGTAGCTGTGGCATCCAGTTCTGCACGTACTGCTTCTGCTTTAAGACGTTGGCGCTTTCCACAGAGGAAATGCAGAGTAGTCTCAAGTGATTTATGACGGTTATTGGATGGATATTAGCGAGCACCGGTGTCAATGATTCGACGAACTTTTGTGTACTTTCCAGAACTAAAGGAGTCAACATAACATCGATTTCTCCGCGCAGTTTGACAAACAAACCGCTCTTGCTGTCGCTTGTCGTCGTGGCGATGGACGCTGAACTTTTATCTGTGACGTTCTCTTGATTATCTTGAACGTTCTGCTGCAACTCCCACCAGCCTTGCGGATAAGGATGGGCCTTTATTTGAGAATTGAAGTGCGGCGTTAGATTAGAAAAGGGGCCGTGTTGATTTTGAGCACCGTGACTATCTTTCTTCGAAATGAGTTTTAAGATATTCACCTTTCCGGTCTGTTCAAAATTAGGTAGATATTTTTGACCGATATAAACAAGAGATCCATCGTCTGCCCTTTTAAACAACGGCAAAGTGAACGCATCTCGACCTGTGGGCAAGGAACACGTGGACCAATTGGAACATTTGTATTGCGGCAAATTGTGCATGTAGCTGGCCATTAGTAGAGGAGAATCGACGATAGGTTTATTTGTTTGCATATGCAGATTGACAAGGGTCATGTCTTCTTGCGATGAAATAGCGGAAATAAAGGAAGTAGAAGAGACGGATCCGCTTTCCGAGTCGGGTTGCACGCCGGCGCTCAGATTGCTGATAGTATCGGGGCAGTCCACTACCTCTGATCTCGGCATGGAGTTGGTCCACTTCTCATTGGTAGCTTCGTTAATACCAAACGAGCTCTTCTCCTTTGGGTTGCTGTGGCGGCTGCCGAAGGAATGCTTTAGACTAGACGACCGACTCGGGAACATATCTTCGTCCGCCGAGAAAAATGCTTCAGAATGGTTTTCGCTGGTGATGGACATCGTACGTTGAACTTCTTGCTGTAAAAGTTCTTCGTGAGGCGGCTGAGAGTTAAGCGAGTAGTGTGACTCGGACACTGCCACGCTTCTCGCTGGCACTTTAGGGGCTACAAAGACCTCGCTTTCGGTTGGCGCTGGCTTTTTGGACACTCCGTTCGTGTCCTTTACTCCGCAACTGAGAGCCAATTTGGAATCTGATACGCTGCTCTCCATTTGTGGAACATTGAGAATACTCTTGTTGAGTTTCGAGTCACTGTCGATCTTTGACGTACCCAGTGGTACAGTGGAGTCCACTAAGCGGGCGTACGGGACGTCACTTTTGGTGCTGGAAACGAGGACATTGTTGCTGCCTTTACTCATACTCGTATAAGAGAACCGTCGCGTCAAACTACGCCTTTCTGCGCTTAGAGGCGATTTGTTGAAAGCTTGCGGTAATGGTGAAGGAATCAAAGTGGAAACATTGGTCGGCTGCAAACAAACATTTAAGCTGTTATAAGGAGGAGTATGGAACACCAGTTGACCCGGATGCAAGAGGCTCTGTCCATAACCATACTCTCCGGGTGATGTTTCGATGACATTGAACATTGCTACATTTACGCCCTCTAGTATGTCCGATTGAGTCGGCTTTAAGAAATTGGGTCCATTTCTATTGGAGCCAAAGAACGCACATCCGCCCGTGCATCCGCATTGCGTGCCCTTGCCTTCGTTAGGCCAAAGGAACCAAAGTCTTTTAGTTTTATCATCGTGCAGTTTGAGGAACTTTTGCTGCACCAAGTGGAGGTTTCTCGGCGCTTGAGGCAAGGACGAGGCAGCTTCAATCAGCACCGGCCCTAGAGCTACGGAACCGACGCCGACCCAATTTTCGCTCTCAGGCAGCGTCTGTTTGTTTTGGCTATTTGTGCTGCTGTTGGAATGATGGTGAGTATTTGTTTGCATGTTCGTCTGAGTGTAAAGTGCGAGCTTAATGTTTGGTAGCAAACCCGTTATGCCAGTTCCGAAACCCGTTCCATGGAGATTGCAAAACGTTAACCTGATCGGGGAAATCCATGACTGTAAAGTCGTATTGGAATCGGCGACATAAATATCGATTAGGTCGATTGCAACACGTATCATACGGTATTTAATTTCGTTAGGAGTCGGGCAACGGTATTTCAGCCCTAAGTCTGTTTCGGGACATAGCACGGTGTTTAAGCCGTGGTGACACTGCTTTACTGAATTTGGTGGCACTAATTCGTTTTCACTGTCGCAGATGAGCAACAAGAATGTTTCGAGTGATGATATAATTTGGTAGAGTTGCGGCAACGTGAGGCGACCCGTCAGTTGGCCAAGTTGCAGTTCCATCATCCAAGCGTACTCCACGGTATCGTCCTCTACAGAGCGATTCGTGTCACTGAAGAAACCGTTGCCTCGCAGTTGAAACGACGAGAGCATCAAATGTCCTTGCTGAAGAGCGCCCGTGTTGTTGGCGTTGGGTCTCGCCAGGTTATTGGATGACACAAGTATTGAGGGGCTGAGTAACAGCTGAAGTTTGGTTTCCTTAAATCTTTTATCCATTTCAAAGCCGAATCTTTCTATGAGTACGACTGGGCACGACGGCTCGTTTTCACTGCAATTCTTCACTAAATGAGCTTGGATATCGTGTATTATGATGGAAACGGTTACGTCCAGCGGCCGGCAGCGGCGCGGGTCAAATGGCTCCTTGCCGGAATCGCTTGAATCGTCCATAGATATATCGACATGTTGATTGATACTACTTCTGTCGTTGTATTTCATTGGATTATCATTAAAGAATGGGTTATCCACGCTCGGCGTTTTCTGCATATCCGTGAACCTTTGATCCTCGCCGAAAATATTCTCCAATAAATTCATGAAACTAGTAATGATTGTCCCATAAGCGAGAAGGACGGACGGACCCACTTCTAGTTCCACGCTCACTTTATCCGGCGGCAGGGAAGTGCGATCGAATGTATTTCCATCTATGACCCAATTCATTTGGGGCTGTTTCCTCATACGGGGTATTCTCATTGGTGACAGGAGAATCTCTTCCTTTTCCGGTGTGGTGATATCGGCTTGCGGTTCCGGCCCCAGCGGTGGAATGGGGTGGTAGTTGTACCGGACGCTTAGAGCTACTATAGGAACTGACCAGCAATCTACCCAACCTTGACTTTTTACGCACTTTCTGCGCCACTTGGAGGCTTTGAGTCGACAAGGTACCAATTTCATATTTTTATCAATAGACAGCAGAAGCAGTCTTGATGTATTCACTTCGGGTAGGTACAGACTCATATCCACTGCTTCACCTTGGACCCAAATCTTCAGAGGTATTACGTCCGGAAGGAAATCAATGAACGGTAAATCAAATGACACGTCTAGAAGATCGCCACAAAAGGCGACGTGGTTATTTTCTTGATTTGTTGAACTGCAATCGATCCAATTGTGTTGATTGCTCACAGTCAAAACTTCGCATTCCTTTAATAATAACGATATTTTCCAGGTATATGGAACAAAATGCAAAATATCTGGCCGGGCTTTGCTCGACCAATCATTCGTCAAGTCTTGGAAGAAGTCGATATGTGTATAAACAAAATGTGCCGTAGCCTTACAGCCCGTCAACGACAGCTGCCAGCACTGGTGGTGGTTCCACACTAATGGATAGTGACATTTCACTGTGTACTCGAGAGTTTCGCTCTCCGCTAGGCTTCTATACTGTAAGCTCGTTGTCGCTTCCAGGTGGAGTAGTTGACCTGTTATTTTAGTCGTATATCCATCTTGCAGCACAATCCACGGTAAAGTCACTTCCATGTATGATCCGGCGCCGATGTTGATGTGAACAGCATTCGTTTCTTTGTTTTTCGTAAACAGAATGTCTATCGTCGCTTCGTTTAACGTCGACAGTCTAATATCAAACGACTGCATTTGTCTTCTGTCGCCAGGCTTCGGTTGCGGCGTCACCTCTAGCGACTTATAATTAGGTGGAAAGAAAAATCTGAAAAGGTGATCCCTTTGTCTGTCGGCCCACGGTCCGTAACTGAAATCTGTTCCTTTTCCACATTTGATGTCAACCCCCCAAATGGGTGGCGCCGATTCGACAATATCTCCATTCGCTAGCTGCAAAAGTACCGGCTGTTCCGGCACCAGGCCGGGTTCGTCCATGTAAAAATATACTTCAATGTAATTCGAGCTCATCACCACGAAGCCTTCGCCCATATATCTAGGGGGTTCGTCGACCATCGCGGTGTAGTTGGGACTGGGAGCGAGAATAACTTTGCAGTTTTCCGCTTTGGCTTTGACAAAGTGCATCAGATGGTCCAGACTGGAGGCCGGTGGCTTGGTGCTGTACACGAGATGTGCCTCCTCGACGCTGATGGACAGAGTGGTGGGGACAAGCTTGTTGCCGAATACGACGCGGCTAGTGCACACGTCTATCTTAATAACTGGGATGAGGTCTCGCCAGGTGCGCGCCATGGCGGCCTCTGAGCGCACTGTATCCTGCGCTCGACGTCTCTTTTCATTGGCGTCGTTCATAGCTTTATCCCTGTCGGTGGAGTCGTCGTCGTTTCGTTCCTTGATAACCGGCTCGAGGCCGAATGTTTTCTCGAGTTCGTTATATAGATCGCATCGATTATAGAAATGTAATTCGAAACCGTTTAACATTATTGACAGTCGTGTATCGGAATGTGATAAATCTGTAAAAACAAAGAGAATTAAAAAATGGATCAAGGAGGTTTAACTTATAAGGGAAAAAGCGCTAATTATCTACCTTCAGAAACATCTTTAGGGACATAAGATCGCCACCATCTGAATATCAGATATCCATCTTGAATGCGCAGTGTGTAGTCATAGTTAATGTACACTATGTCTCGGAACATTATCTTACCGGAGAGAGCATTGAGAGTGAATGAACCTGAAAAAATAGAACTCTAACAATTTACAATGGTAGATTTCGTCAATATCAGCAGGTGCTGTCGCAGCGCGGTCGCTCATAGGCCAACATATCTTTAACTTTAAATCACTTGTTACAGAACTTTCAACAGTTAATAGAATTAAATCAATTCAGTACTAAGATTTGATTAAAACAAATGGATATTGAAATCTTTTGTCTTTGTTATTACTATAGATGAAGTAACATCTCATTGGGCTTAAAACTGTAAATTCTCTTGACAAATACTATTGTATTATTCATGAATATAAAAAGTTGAACAAATAACAATTCTCAAGTGTTATCTATGACAAAAAGCCATAGTCTTCGCATAACATAATTAAAAATCATTAGAAGCCAAATAAAAACATAAGACAGATAATATTTACTTTGTAAAGTAAATTAATTGTATTAACATTGTAGTCCTAAAATCACAAATAAATCCCTACTTTAGTTAAGTAAACAATTTCATGATTATGAAAGTTTGGATGTTTGTAACCATATAACTTGAAAACAGCGTAGTCCTTTATGTTCTCGATTACAACAATAATAGAGTAGTAGTACACATATCATAGAGCGACTGATAAAATTAAAACCTATTAAAAATTAATATTATAAGAACGTTTACATAGACAAATGGATAGATGTTTGTTACTAGACATCTCCAAAATGGCTTAACGGATATCTCTGAAATTTGGTACAGTTATTGAATATAGTCTGGAAGAACGCACTAGCTACTAACTAAGCTTCTTTAAATTACTATGCTGATGGAGTCGCGGGCGACAGCTACCAAAGTAGTAGTTTCAATTACAAAGAAATTGAATCTGAAGAAAGCAACACTTACCAATCTTGAAGTTCTCATCTTGAAAGTAGAATTTGTTAATGAGTCTAGTAAGTATGTAGCCGAGGACACGGCTATTGTAGTACGTTATATAAACCACCCATAGGATGGCAGATATCAGAGAGACCAGAAGCAACGCGAAGTTCCGATCCATCGTGATCTCTGCGAAATCTATCGACGACGAGTTCCATCTCGCCGCCACTGGATCGACTGTTCCAGTCGCGTTATCCCTAATAACACAAAACAAAAAGCAAAACAATAATAAACTTTTATGTGTCATCTTTTATCAACAAGGGAGTAGTAGTACTACGCGATCACAAAACTTACATTTTGCTATTACTTAAATTACACTAACATATTTCACATATTAAACAATTTATAGTACTCAGCAAATAATTAATCACGACATTCGTTTCCATTTTTATCTTTATAATCAATTTATAGTATTCGCGATCCCATAGTTTTGACAGTTCCGATTCCGAACAGATAATTGCGTTCCGATTCATGCACTGTGCGTGCTGTGCGGAGGAAATAATATTTTAAATAAGAGAGTAAAATACTTCACATAATTATTTTATTAAAATAAATATTAAATACAATATCAAACAAGATTATTCGTGATATGTTTGTAAATAAAAAAATACATCTGCTATAAAAAAGTTAATTTAATACGTTGCTATGAAACCGATGTCAATTTTATTCAAGAAAACTGCAGAAAATACTGAGAATAATGGATACAACTGCTTCTGAAGCGAATCTAGCGAATAAAATAAATCATACAAAAGTGAGGTATAGTAAACTACACTTAAAATGCGTTTAGGTACTAAAGATTTGAATCGTCTTATCTCAAAGGTGCAAGAAATGTTAGGCGCCTGGAGCCGAATCTTGGAGGGCGCCAGCCCATGGTTGTACCGCTTTTAAAGGCGCTGGACTGATTTTCACAACCGCCCATTATAGTTGAGATAACCCTGGTTTAGACCAGTTGTCACAAAAAAAAATGTTTCACAGTAAAAGTGTCGCATGGTCACTTTGGCACCTGTGATAGTGAGGCTTTAGTATCACTGCCTGTTGATTTAATTTTCTTAGGTAATTGTATTGGTTTTAAGGTAACTGTGTTATAAGAATTACGTTTTCAGATGGGTAATACCACAGAGGTTAGACTTCATTACATTTATCGGTAAACAGGTGTTAGCAATCGCACACGACATATACATAATATTTTACAACTTTAAAACCAAAAGTGAAATTGTATATACTGCAAACAACCATATAAATGGTGATGGAGTCGATGTTATTGCAGGTCAGTATTTAATTTTACACAATTATAAAATGTACTATGAGTATATCATTGTGAGTCTTTTCCAGGACACAGATCGAACATATTCGTGTTTGCTGAAAAAGTTAACAACCCGAGGATCTTCGTCCTTTCATATCCCAGGTTTAACCAACTGGCGCTACTTAAAGGTAACTTAATGACGTGGACAATATATAAAAGTTATCAATTAGCGAAAGGATAAATATGTGGATATCCGCTCATGCTGAAAAGAAAGAAAATGTATTCTTAGCTTAAAGTGACTTTTATTTATAGCTTTTATTGAGTTAGGTATTTACTGATTGTCTTTCTCCTGTAGACTTAGACGTGAACAGATACAAGTCGCTTTGCATGATGGAAGGTGACCTGATAGCCACCTTCTCCGGCTTCCCCAACTATCTGATGACCGTATGGAACTGGCGGACGCAGCAGCGGCTAGTGGCTCTCCCTACCGGTGTTATTAGAAGAAAGCAGATTTACATGTTTGTATTTATTTCACGAAAGTAATCAAAATACTACGAAATGCTATCATATCAGTTCTGATTTTAGGGAAAGCTAGATACCTTCGTCGTAAACTAGACTTTATTAAAAGTACTGTCTTGTGTGGTCGTGGTGCACTTGAATTACCCGTTCGGCAATATTTTGCGAGATCTATGAATATCAAGGAGACGATAGAAGATTGCAATATCTTTCACACTGTTCAGGGCGAGTCGCACACATATGCTCGTATGTGAGTGCTGGGGCGAGGGCCTAATCGTGTGGGAGGTAGCGCAGTGTCACCGGCGCTGCCTGGTGCTGCGCCGCGCTAAGGAGGAGGTCACCGGATGGGAGATCGCTGAGCCGCCGCTCATTGACGTTTGCTGGACCAGCGATGGACAGCTCTATGCCATAGATAAGGATGCTAATTTGTATAGTGTACGTAAAATGCTGAATTATTATGCACATATAAATATTGTCCTGAAAATCGAGAGCATAGTATAAATACCTGTGTAGGAATGTTCTAAATTCATCATATCACTCACTGCACACTTAATAAACAAGTTAGTACATGTCCCTATTCTTTCACTAGCTTTTTAATTCGGCCTTTAATCATCCGAAGTCAAGTATAGATTGCCAAACTGTACCTACTGGACCAATGCTCTAAAACATCGCATTTTTATCATGTATACGTATCTTACAGTATGGTATTAATTGAAGTAACCGTGATTAATAAGTAGGCAATTATGATCGTTAGATGTACCTATTTTTAGGTAACTAAACATAATAATAGACTTACAATTTTCATAAAATATGTACATTCACGTCACAACTCCAAAGTGAGGTCCTTTGATGCGCGTATGAAATTAGCAATATTTATTATTTATCGTAATCTTAGTTTATGATTAGAATTCTGATAACTGCCATTTAAATCTAAAGATGCTGTCAGATGGTATTGGGATGGTATCACACCTGGAATGGTCGGAGAACCTGACGGGCTCCGAAAAGTCAAGCGTCTGCTCTTTCGGGAACGGCATCCTTATCTACGGACCCGATCAATTCCTTCGAGTAAGATGCTACAATCATATTGATTTAAGTTTATTTTCAAGGCTTCGAAGTGGAATAATATAAATAGTTACTAATCATTTTTTAACATACCCGCTAGACTTAAAGCTTTTACACTTTGTATTTTAACAGTTGCTAAAGAAAGCTGAAAACAAATGGAAAGTATCGTGGACGTACTTGACCTCAGAGAGCGTGGAGCGGCTGGTTTCCAACACCAGCAGCGACCTCGCCGCCGTGTGGACGCAGAGTGGCCGCCTCTACCACATCACTGAGACTGATGACAAACTTGATGTCGTACTTCATGTTTATAGACAAAGGTGACAAGGTCTTGAGGAAAAATAACGTAAAACGAAAGTGTAAATAAATAAAAATTGTCGTGTAACTTCTTGATATTTAATTTTCAGGAACATAATTAAAATTCAGATGATCGCGCCAGATAATAAATATCTCGCCACGATTAATAAAACAGGAGAGATTTGCATTTACGAATTACTTACTGGTAATTTGGTAAGTACTGGATTTTAAAAACAAAACTCATAAAACACATTAGTTCGTTTTGGTGGATTTATTTAGAATTCATCATCATACTAAACACTTAATCGTATTCGCGTATCTAGTTTTTGGAGCACAAAAGATGTGTTCTCAATTCCTAGATCCTAAGAAAATTGGTGGAGGGAAATGACGTATCGTTCCAAGCGAGTCCCGTGGACCCGCTGCTCATTATGTTCGGCGAGCTGGGCGTCAACTATGGCATCGGGCTGTTCACGTTCGCCCCCGAAGTGGGGCTGCAGCAGGTGGGCAGCATGTGCCTCACACATCAGATCGTCTCGCAGATCGTGTTCTCCCCCACTGGCAGGCAGGTCACCGCGGTCGCCGCCTCGGCCGGACACATATTTGTGTTTCAAGTAAGAACTGGTAGTGTTTACGATTGCTTTAATACTAAGTAAATAGTTGTAAATGAATTCTCTATCGTAAATCGTAGCTATCGGAGCAATACAAGCTATCACTGGTGCGGTACACGGAGCTAGGCCGCGGGCTGGCGGACAGCTTCCTCATGAAGGTCGGCGACTCCATGCGCTCCTTCAACCTCGTACTCTTCTCAGACAAGTATGCTATTGGTATGTTTTTATTTATATTTACATGCATAACCAGTTTTGAGGTACAAAAAAAGTTAATATTTGACTACTAAGTTTATTTTATTTGTAGGAGAGCGCATCATGTGCGTCAACGCGGACAATGGCAAGGACAACAAGTTCGCGGGCAAGATGCAGGGCCCGTACGCGCAGCTGCTGCCGCTGGCGCAGGCGGGCTGCGCGCTGGCCGTGCCGCACCTCGCCAGCCAGCTGCACGTGCTGCGCCTCTCCGGCGAGGTGCGCACCTGCTGCTCACCTACTGCTCACCTGCTGCTCATCTGCTGCTCTAGTAATAGTTTCTTAAGTAGTTGTTAATTTGTGCCATTTGGATACAGAAAGGCATAACAGTCTCGGTGAAAATGGGCCCGGTATTCGAGTCAGGACATGACCTGAAGCATTGCAGGGGTTACATCAACAGCGCCGCCCTCGTCACCTTCAGCTATGATGGTACAGTCATTCTGAGGAAACCGGAGGCTCCTGTTGAATACGGTAAAATTGTTTTTACTTATTTTTTCTATGACTAGGTTATAAGGATTACGAAATATTGGTCTTCTGTTTATTAGAAATAAAGATGATTGTTTCGCATCGCTACGAGACCGGCGTTCAGCAAGCGGTGGTGGACACGAGCCTGGAGTACCTGGCGCACCTGGGCGGCAACGGCACCGTGGCCGTGGCCATGCTGGACGCCCCGGCGCGCATCTCCGCGCCCACGCTCTTCATTGATTACCAGCCCATCGAGCTGTTCACGGAGCCGCCTGATCCAGAAATTTTGAAGGACGACGAAATGATTAATATTTTTGACGAGTTTGAGAGTAAGCGTATAATGCTAAAACTAGAGCTCCCTTTAAATACCCAAAATAAAAAAAATAATTGTGATTTCATTTATAAATACGTACTCCGTACCTTGAATGTAGAGAATTACCTGGACATCCAAGAGGAGAAGCGCGTGCACACGGAAGCGATGGACTACCGGCGCGCGCGCGAGGAGGCGGTGCGCGCGCTGCAGGTGGTGCAGGAGCGCGCCGTGGCGCTGCTGGAGGAGAACCTGGAGGCGCCGCCGCTGCACCGCCTGCCCATCTCGGAGTTCAACCTGCACGCGGAGAACAAGAAGGAACGCCTCAAACAGGTCACCGTCATTCATAATTGCACTCTTTGTTACTTATGTTTTTGCCATTGCTACATCGAGTGAGGTTAGACACATAAGGAACTTTGCTAAAGTGTATATTAAAATATACATAACTACATTAAAATGTACTTCCCTAATATATATCTTGCAGGCAGAAAAAGAACGCGAGGATATACGATTGCGCACCGAAGCCCGCATCCGCGCTCAGGATAAAGTGACCGCGTGGATTAAATCCCAATGCTGGGATTCCATGGCAACGCCGCGGGTCAAGATTTTTGCAGTATTTAGTCATTACTATGTGAGTAAATACTGGATATTTTTACTTCTAAAATAAAACACTGGTGTAACTAGTTACAATATTTTTAGGCTTAATTCTTCCTAAGATATTTAAAATAGCATACTCGTTAAAACAAAATCTTACTACTTAAACATACTAAATTTAGGTGGAAAATTACGCGGTGTTGCCGAACCAACGGGAGCAGTGGCCCGAGCTGCAGGTGGTGGAGGCGCTGCGGGCGCTGGAGATGGAGAGCGACCACGAAGTGTTCCGTCCCTGGGAGGAGCAGCCCACGCCCGCGCTCGAAATGACACCAACACAGTATGAGTTGCTTTTGATATCAAGTTACATAAGGACATGAGGTATTCTTGTCTATGGCGTTTATCACACTTTGACATAGAATATTGTCTGGGGTAATTTGTTAACCTGTCAAGAAACAATTGAATGTTGAAGGAAAATCTTTACAACCTCAGGATCCGCGAGTCGCTGGGGTCGATGCGGTCGACGGCGCACAGCGTGGAGAGCCAGGCGCTGCCGGCGGAGAGCAGCGGCTCGGGCTCCGCGGAGGGGCAGCCCTACGCGCTCTCCGGCACCAACACGCACCTCTTCGTGGCCGTGCCGCCCGCCATGGTGCCGCAGACCCTCGCCTACAGCTTCCTGCACATGGACATGCTGCAGCACCTCGCCCTGGTAGCGCCTCGCACACAGACACTTCAAAGCTGTTTTAAACTTACCTCTATATATAACCTTTGAATTTACAGTTGAACGCGCAGAATTTAAGGATTTGGTTTAACCAACAATTTGACGACCTCATGGGTCTCAAAAAGCGGGAAGTCGGCCTAGTCCAGGACAGGAATGCGCGTCTGCGTTTTATAATTCAAGGTAAATCTAACTAATATTTTTGGCCCATAAAAATAAAAATATGATATTAACATTTGTTTTTTTAATGGATTTATGAATTTACCTCCAGAGTTAAACACGCTGTCAGACCTTCGCGGCAGCTTTCATCACTTGACCATCCAGATAAATGATCCGGAGTGGCGCCAAGAAGAACAGCCATTTAGGCTTATTAAAGTGGACACGGAGGAGGTAGAATCGCCAAGTTTATTTATTTATAAAAACAGGTTCGTATATTATCCTTCATGATCCTATTTCCTTGTATTGTATGAAACAGTGCAGCATTCCGCCGTACGTGAGCCCGAGCCAGATATTCATCCCGCCGCCGCCGCCCGGCCCGCCCGACGACTTCCGCGAGCGCGCGCTCATCGAGATGATGGACGGCGTGCTTGAGAAGCTATGGCACGAGGAGATCAAGAAACCCATCCCCAAGCCCCAATGCATGGTATCTTAGTATCTCCATGACCTTCAAATGTGTGTGTTTCTTTCTGGGGTATCGCCTCTGTGCGTTTGCCAAATGTTGTGTTCTGGGTGCAGCTGGACAAGGACCCGGAGCACTTCAACGAGGACGACCTGCGGCTGGTGTTCGAGTACGAGGCGAAGGTGGCGTTCCGCGAGGAGGAGCGCGACAAGTACCGCAAGATGCTGCACGCAGAGTACGCCAAGCTGTCGCAGCTCCTCAACGAGGGCATCGTCAAGTTCAATCATAAGGTAACCACTAATCCGATAAAATCACAAGTTTCTTGACAACATGGTTAAAATCTTTAACAGTTTACAAAGTAACATCTAATCCTCAATGCCTTTTTCTACAAAAATACCCAAGTAGTTAGTTACATATTGAAATCGTAAGGTAATTGTGAGGGTTTCAGGTAAAGGAAATGTGGCTTACCAGATTGAGAATAGACTCAGCCATCGGACAAGAGAATCTAAACTTGATGCGGCTGCGGCGGACCAACTTGGATCGTATTGAGTTAGCGGAAGAAATAGAAAAAATGAGGTATTTATTTTATTTATACACTTATCACATACCACCATCTACTTACAGTGATTGTTGTTAAACTATCTAAAACTTTACTTTCTATAGTAAATTCAGTGCTCAATTCTATAATATTATTACCAAAGGAACGACATAGCGCGGTACGAGTCGGAGATAGAGATGCTGCAGGGGGAGAGCCAGCAGATCAGTGTGCAGAGCGAGGAGTGCACGGCGGCGCACGAGGCGCTGGTGCAGAAGGACCGCTACTTCGACAAGACCTTCAAGAACCATTTCGCCGATCTTTCTCCTATCATTGTAGAACAGTGCTACAAGTTCTACAAGTGAGTATTGCCAATATGACTAATTAAGAGTAATTTTATAGAATTCATTACTCATTTTTCGTATGTGTTGAGGAAGCGGCCGAAGTGGCAGCACCGCGCGGGGCTGGGCGCGGGCGTGCTGCTGGAGCTGGCGGGCGCGGTGCTGGCCGCCACGCGCCCCGCGCTGCTGCCGCCGGACGCATTGGATTTCTTACGCGCGTAATTACTTCCTCTAATAATAGTAGTGGTTATTAACTAGAAAGATTTATCTCTGTAACAAATCGTGAGTTTCCTCAAGGTTGGAGCAGCTGGACCTGGTTAGTAACATGCCGCCCGTCATGGACGAGAACCTATGGACAAACATGTGCAAACTGCGTCGCGCCAAGATCGAAAACGAGATGAGGGTATTGAGACAAAGGTTTCTTCTCTTGTCCTTTTTGCAAAAACTACAACTAGCCTACCGCCGCAATGCGCAGATGCGGGCGGCGGTGCAGGAGCTGGCGCTGGTGGAGAGCGCGGCGGCGACGTGGGGCAAGGCGGCGCAGGCGCGGCGCGCGGCGCTCGGCGCGCTGCACGACCGCATGCTGCAGCACCGCCGCCACGTCGAGCTGCTCTCCCGGAACAAGACCATACAGGTGCCGGACACTGCTGGACTCGGCAGGGTACTAAGCGTTCCTTCGTTATCTTTTCACTGATCCAACTGCAATTTATCTGCAGTTGGTGCTGCCTGCCGGGCAAGTGGAGGTGGTCACAACTGGTCACATTGAAGACTTTGATGACGCCGCTCTTATTTTACGAGAAGACATTGAACGTATCAATGAAGTAATTCTGGTAAGTCGTAGTTGTTTAAGAAACAAAATTTTGAAAAAAAAAAACAATGTATTACTAAGATATAATAATAGGAATATACTAATCTTAGACACGGTATATTGTTTATTACAGAAAGTTGGTGAAATGAAGTTAAACATGATGCGGAGGCAGATGGAGTACCGCAAGGGCATCCTCGCCAAGGAGTGGGAGCATGCGCAGATGAAGATGAAACTGCGCCACATGGAGCAGGAATTATACTCCTATCAACGTCTCAAGGTACAAATAGAACAGATTTGTACTTTAAAATAATGGGCCTTATGTATTGACTAGTTGGTATTACGTGACTGTGCAGATACCCAAAGAGCTGCAGCTGTACCTGAAGAACAAGGAGCTGGGCAGCACGGACGAGCAGCAGTTCGTGCGCATGGAGCGCGACATGGACGCCAGCCGCCGCGCGCTCGACCGCAACCTCACAGAGCTCATCCGCAAGCACGAGGAGATGGAGGTACCATGAACACAATTAAGGCTTCCGGCTCGAAGGACCATGTTAATTAAAGTATTGTATTGCAGATTGAATATTGTTGATAAATTGTGAAATAGGTAAAGTTTAAGGTTAAGTAATTAAGTATGTGTTGCCCGTGTGACAGCTGAAAGGGCCCCTCCGCGCCTCTTCCCCGTCGGTGTTGCCGTAGCACGCAACACTTGATAGTTATAATAAAAACTAAGATACATTGGTGCATATGTAGTAGTTAAAACTCGGGGAAGGAGGAAAGTATGAGGAAATAAAAAAAAATATAAGGAAAAGACATTAATTTCCAGCTGAAATGCACGGCGTTAACAGCAGACATCGACAAGCTCAATTTAGTAATATCGAAGCTCAACCTGAGAGTGTCAGAGAAGCGACTGTCCGAAGACCCACTGCAACCGATACGCGTGAGGAAGATTTTCAAAATGAGGCAAGTAAAGAATACAACGCCCTTAAAGGTGCAAATTCACAGCCGACGAAATCTTATCATCTTAAATGAGTTTACAGAAGAATAACTAGGTAGTTTCTGTGTATCAGAATGGAGACGCTGGTGGCGCGCAGCCAGCTGGTGCGCGAGGTGCAGGCGCACCACACGGAGCTGGTGCTGCTGCAGACGGAGCTGGAGCTGCTGCGACTGCGCACCTACCCCACGCTCGCCACATTCCGCATTATTACCTGATCACAGTCACACTACAAGACTAGTTATATTTTAGGCCTAGCAAGGAGTCTATAGTTGTTTTAGTTAAAGTTTGTGTTAGTCTGTTTTTGTCTGCTAAACAATTGTTACTAGTTCATTATGTATGACTTATTTTAATTTTTAAATAAAGATTTTTTTAACTTGGATCGCATTTTAATTTCTAAAATTGCATTCCTCTACGCAACTTTTAAAACTGTGAGAATCATAAATAATAAGTACAGTCGCGGAAATACGCAGTGTTTCACTTACAGGATTTGCTTGTTTCTTGCAAGGAGACTCTTCTTACAAGTGAGCAATTAGGTAGCTGTGAGTTTCTCTAACGAAAGGATTATTGTTAAATCCGAGTACCACTGATCGATTTTTTTCATACAGACATAATTAAAAGTAGCGTTCTATTGGTTTCTGTTCCGTGTCGTCGCAATGTGTACAAAAACGATTGTAGCTTTTGTAATAATAATCCAACAGTCATCAGAGTGCAATAAAACGCAAATATAATGCGCATACAAAATTTTATTACCATAAACAATTCTATTGTCAATAAAATATATTGAGCTCAGTACACATCCATAGACGAACAACTTTTAACGCTAAGACGCGAATCGTCTTAAAATACATTACAACAATCACTTAAGTAACTACAACTTAAGTTCTCCGATATAACTACAGATTGAATGAGTAGAAATTACACACTGCTGTCCACACTAATGTCCAAATACAGCGAGTCACTAGGAGCATTTAAAGACATGTAATATATTTTAATGATTAACAAAAATATATATAAAATAACACCAAAGTCAAGTTTGTAACGAAGCGATGTATTTTAAAATTACGTTTATTCTTCGGAGATTTTAATTCAGTCAATCTATATAATTTATGAAATGTTGACAAGCACATAATGATATAGTACACTTATAAGAAAAAATCATTTTGTTACTTAATTATTTAAATAGAAGCTATCAGTCTCGTCAACACGATTGTCAAATGCGGAGGGTTTGTGTTAAATGAACATAAACTACGTACAAAATATTAAAATGGCAACCGCTTAACAATGGTTGCAACTAATTTACTACAAGAAACATTTAAAAATATACAATTATTAGCTAAACTAACAGCTAGATGGCTTTAACTATAAAGCTGTGTACTGATTCGCGCGGCCTCGCGAGCCAATGTTCGTGAGTTCGCCGCGCACTATCTGTGCTCAGCCAGTAAACACGTGGCGAACAAACGCACAAACACACCAATATCAACAACATTAACTAGGGAATAGCTATATAAAATTCAAATCTATTTTAAAAATACGTCCCCAGTGTTCAGCTCTTTTTTCTAATGACCTAGATACACACGCTGAAATAATAAATAGATATATTTTATTTATAAAACAACAGGTATATAAATAAACAATAAATATAATCTTTAACATTTTTGGATAAAATTAATGAAGAAATCTAAATGTGTTTTAGCACCGAAATATATGAACTTTAGTACAATGGTATAAAACGGTAATTAATCAAAATTAATCTAATGAGAATTCTTTTAAAGATAGCATAGAATATAGCAAAGGACAGAGGTGAAATACATTTAATGTACCAACATCGTTTGCGCGCGACTGTACCGAAGTGAAATTTTTAAACATTAGGCCACAATTTCGTTTTAAATTATATCACATAATATCAATCACAATATGCCAATTTAAACTGCATTTTTTTTTTGCTATATAAGCCTAACTATGTATGTTTTATTAGCAAAAAATTTATATCTGTTGGCGACATTAATTTTGTGTGTAAAATGTTTTAAAGCAATGTTTACTGTTGGCCTCTCGTCTACCCGATTGGGTATTTTCCCATAGGTTCGATCGAGAGGCCCATTGGCAGACAACCTTAGTTATAATGATCATATGAAGTTAGTAATTGCTAATAAGACATACATATTCTTAGCTCATAGAATCTTATCTTGATATTTACAGATAAAATGTGCACTTACTTTTAGTTACTTGTAAAGATCGTTTTACAAATACTGCTACTATTGATATGTAGAAGGAAGTTCAATAGCTGAAGAGGAATACACAAAAATGATAATTGGGACTTCCCTATATCAACGGCTCTCGGTCAAATATAATTTCTGTACACCTGTCAAATTGACAACTGTCAAAGCGATAGTGAGACTCCAGATAGTGGCAACTGGCAACCCTAAGTATGGAAGTCACAAGTTGATGAGACCAGCAGATGTTTCGTGTCTGTGTGTGACTAGAGCGCAGTCCTCTGGTCGTAGACGATGACGGCGTCGGCGTCGAAGAACTGGCTGTGCGACTTGCTGAGCGCGATGATGGCGGCGTGCTCGCTGCGCATGCGGTTCTTGTGCTTCTTGCTTAAACTCACCTGACATATGCCATTCTTTACATACACACCGCAAACAAATATCACGTTTGAACACGATACATACGAAAAATTGAAGCTAGTTACTAATCGAATAAGCAATTGCTATACTCCGAGACATTCAGAGAGTGTTTTAAAAAGTCAGGGCCCATCGTGGTGTTGCATTTACAAAAAATTGCCTTGTTCCTCTCAACGAGACCAGTTTTAAAAAAAATTAAAATCAAACAATACGGTAGCTGTGCAAACGAATAGATAATCTTTTATCTATTCGTTATTATTACTTATTATTCTGCGTAGTCGTTTTAATTCATACAAAACTTTCAACGGACTGTAAATTTTTAAAGTGGAACACCGCCAAATTCCCCGATAGTACCTTAGCGTAGAGTTGCTGCAGGTCGTCCTCTGTGGAGAGCGGGCGCGGCTTGGGCCGCAGGAAGGCCGGCAGAGACCGCGTTTTTAACGCGTCCACGTTCACGCCGCCCCCGATCTCGTCCAACACTGCGTCCCAAACGAGACTGTCATATAGTACTTGCTGGTAGCAGTTATTGGGATGAAGGAGTTTACTGACTGCTGCTGGAGGCGTACTGCGCGGAGACGTGCTCGCGCTCGGGCACACGGTTGACGTAGCAATGCGCGGTCGCAGGCGCGGGGTGCGTGGGGTGTATGGTGTGCGTGGGGTGCGTGGGGTGGGCGGGGTGCGTGGGGTGTGTGGGATGCGTGGGATGCGCGTCGCGTGCACGCCGCCACTCCGCGTCCCCCGCGTAGCTCGCGGGCCGGCTGTGTCTCTGCACTTGCACCTGCACACAAATATAACTCCACATGTCGCAGAAAGTCTTCTCTTCGTCAATCGAAATTTGGGAGATACACTGGGAGAGTCGATCTCGATAACTGGACTAGATTTCAACTGGCATAATGTGAACACTAACTGGAACAGGCATTAACACAAAAGATGCCGTGCTAACCTTTTTCCAGCAGCCTTTTCCATACTAGATATTTATAAGAATGTAAATTAACAAAAAATCATTAACCGTTTCTTTCACAATTATCTACATTTCTTATAAAATATTTTAAGCATATTTTAAAAGGTATACACGTATGAGATGTTAAATGTTTACGTTACCTCGGCTTGTTTTATTCTGCTGTAATCCTGATGGGAATATCCATGATCTTCTTTTATAGTGTATGTATTTTTTAGATACTGTTCGTCTGAAATTAAAGAGATCAGTTTAAAGCACGTAAACAACATTGAACATGTTTAAAACAATGATTTTACCGAATGATTTCTGATGGCGCGGCATGAGGCGGCAGTAACATATAATAATTAAGAAAATAACAACACCACAAATGCCACCAATAAGCCAAGACAACCAAACAATTATGACTCGACCCTGGAAGTAAACAAAGAAACAAAAGTCACTGATCGCTGTTTCAATTTTATTGATTTTACTTCGGACTTTTACCTGCAGAAACATTTCAGTTTTTAACAATAAAGCGAATACCGCTTGCTTTTGTTCCCTTGTTATTGATTATTCCTAACATCTTATTGTTTAACAGTATCAAAAATCTATAAAAAGCGCTAAAACACTAAGGTATAAACTGAATCTTATTCATTGATTCACAGGTTTTCCATTTTTAAAAATTAACTTATGCGCGCCTGCGCTCTTGGAGGGAAATGTTTGACATTTGGTACTTTGCTGCGTTAAGAAATGCAATAATACAATGTAATTTTAGAAAACGTCGGATTTAAGTATTGCACATACAACTTTATTTCAAATATTATATTTAGTTTGGCATTAAAAACTTTTAAGATTTTTTAGTATTTTAGTATACCATACATTAAGAAGTAAATTATTTGTAATTTGTAGAAACTCAAACTAGTTTCTGAACGACTACAAAAACGTTCCGGTAACATTTTAAGTAAAATACTTATAGTAAGATGAAAAAAAAATGCCTTACTTCGCTTGATCATTTAGGCTACGAATTAAGTAAATTCTAAGAAAATAACTATACTTAAAATGTACTACATACATTAATAACTGCGATAATCTTTTTCTAAAACTATTAAATGTCAATGTCAAATCATCAACTTGAAACGGAATGCAACTTTGATTTTGAAGGTTACTTGCTTTTACTTACTTAATATAATAATAATTTGAATATCTACTGGGGCAGCTTGTTTATGTAAACAACTACACAGCTGACGCTTTTCCTGATTCCGTGTGTTATCAACATTGTTGACTACGATACAGCGACAGTTTACATCGGACGATATTTAACGTCACAGCGCATTTTGTGCTGTAACTTGACAGTATTATTACGTATATATTCACAAGGAAATTAATAAAGTAATTAGTGTATGGATAGTTGAGTAAGGTGCTAGTCAGCAGTAAAAGCAATCATGGCAAAAATGAAAATATTTTTTGCACTCGGGTTATTATTTAGTTTTCTTGCGAAGGACTCGTTGGGATTATCGCCGGTTATTTTAAGTGAGTAATTGAATGTAACCTTAATCTTATTAGTTTCTTAGCGAAGCATACGTAGTGACATTGTCTATTTATTACAGAAAAACAACTTATCACTTACCTTGCAATAAAATAAAATGCGAGTTACATTTATTATGTTGATTGTTATTTTTAAATATTAATGAAAGAACTTGAACTGCGATTTGATACAGGGATATTTCAGATAGAGGTTTTTTAAAGTAACTTTAAAAAATAACTTTGCAACTAATAAAAATGTTATACATTTTGCACAGTACCTGGTGATGGTGGAAGTCAACTTGAGGCGAGATTAAATAAAACCAATGTAGTGCACTATATTTGCGCCAAGACGTCTACAGACTACTTTAACATTTGGTTGAATTTGGAGCTGCTAGTACCGTTTGTGATCGACTGCTGGGTGGACAACACCAGGCTGGAGTATGACAATGTTACAAGGACAACCAGGACCCCTGAGGGTGTGGATATTCGAGTCCCGGGATGGGGAGACCCAGAGCCAGTGGAATGGCTGGACCCCTCACACGACAGTACTGGAGCATACTTCAATACTATCGGAGATGCTCTTGTCAAAGAAGGATATGTAAGGAATGTGTCTTTGAGAGGAGCTCCTTATGACTTTAGGAAAGCACCAAGTAAGTTTTTATTTTAAACTAAAGGCAAATACAATTTTATTTACATAATATATTCCTGGCAAATTAAATATTCCACTAATAGTATAAAATTAGAAGTTTAGATGGATGGAGGGATGTTTGTTAGAAGCTATCTCCAAAACATAGTCTAGAAGTCATGTATATCCTACTGAGTTTTTGTTTTAATTCTGTGCGGTCAGAGTCATGGGCAAAAACTACTTAAAACATACTGATTTTTTAATCCGCCATTTTATCTTACAATTCCTACGAAAATGTTTTAATAATTATCCTAATTGATGCTTTAAAATATTGCAACAATAATTAAGTGAAACCAATTTGATTTCAGATGAGAATGGTGAATTTTTCGTGAAACTAAAGACTCTAGTTGAGGACACATATACAATGAACAATAAGAGTGCAGTGACGCTGATCGTGCACAGCATGGGCGGCTCGATGGCGCTGCACTTCCTGCGACAGCAGACACAGTCGTGGAAGGACCAGTACATCCGGAGACTCATCTCACTGTCCACCCCTTGGGGTGGGGCGGTTAAAGCACTTAAAGTTTTCGCTATTGGTGAGTTATTCTATAAAAACCTGCCCCTGAAATACAAAAGCATATATCTGTCCTTTTCATGTTACATTAAAATACTGAGAAAGCAATATTTTTTTCGATAGCGTAAACTTAGCGTGCGTTCGCACGGGCAGACTTTGTACGCCGCGGTAAAGTTCAAGGTCAGCAGACTTTTTACGCCCACGAGATAGGTGTTCGT